GTTAAAAAAACAATACATTCCAGTTAACGAAAAACTAACTTGGACTAAATTGAAACTTACTAATTTGTGATGGTAATAGTAAATTGTTCCCTGATTGGGAAATTGTTTTGTTCGACAAAAATTATTTTTAATCAACTTGTTCTTCATTTTAGTATAAAATTATTACGTTTTACCTAAACAAAATAAAGTTAGAGTTATTTATGATTTGATAAAGTTTAATATTTTGTTTATTCCCTACTTGGGAAAATTAAAATATTTACAATAAATTAGACAGTTTTCCCGGCTGGGGAAAAATGTTTTTTGTTTTTTTTGATAAGAATGTTTACCGAGCACAAGATTATTAATATATTTTTTCTGAGAAAATTTTAGATTTTTGGTGTTAGACTAACAAAATTGGGAAAAGATCGTCATCTGATCAAAAAAACTACCCTTACTAATTATGTTAATATTATTTGATTCTCAAACAATTGCAAATTTAAGTTGATTGTTTTGTCATACGCCAAAATAAGAATTATTCTAAAAAAATATGATACTTGTATTTGTCTTTTTCTTATACAAGCACGAAGAAGTGTCTTGCATTTCTCAATCAATTTTTTTCTAAGTTAAAATGTCATTGCAGGAGTCATGTAGATTTGAAATCTAAGGATTCAACTTCTCGCTTCAATGTTGGGCGAGGAAACTGACATTGACTCAGAACTTTAACCGAAGCTGCATTTAAAGTTATAAGAGTAGTTGGTGTTCTATTTGCTCTTCCGTTGGAAACTTTATTCTTTGGATAAGTATACAAATTATATTCTCGAAGTAGCCAAGAAACTTGAAAAGAAACACCACACCATTTATCTTAATAAAAAAGATGAAAAAAATGCCAGCCAATGTCTCAAATGGATGAATGATAATAATATTAATATTAAAGATTTATACTTCACCAGTCCACGAGAAGAAGACTTTTCTGGAATTTATGAAAGATCAAAAAAATTCTTTGAGTTTTTTCTTGAAAAATCAAAAGAACAAAACAAAGAAAATTAAATCGCTATCATTCGTTAGTCATTTTAAATTATTTTTTTGTCAAGTTGCTTTTTCTTTCTTTGTTTTATTAGCAAATATTTTCCTAAAAAATTTTTTTTAGTTCTTGATTAGTTAGTCATTTTTTGACATGTAAAACTTATTTTATAGTCAAATTAAATAAATAAACACGCAACTGTTGTCCTTGTATTTTACTTCTCGCTGCCTAAGATTATTAATAAATAATTTTTTGATTATTTGCTAAAATTGTATTTTTCCCCAACTGGGAAAACTAAAACGTTTAACA